GCAAGAGACTCTGTTCAGCAGGCTTGGAGAAATATCCAAACTGTCGTCGCTGTACTGGGGAAGTCGAGACCATTGGTCACGCCTTTTTTCGGTGCAAGGCGGTAGTGCCGTTCATGCAAGTTTGTTGAAGGCCTCATGGTTCGCATGTTGCAGGGAAAGTTTTTTGTCCTTGAAGCTAGCTCTGTTTGTAGCAATGTGGTGCCGCAATTGACGAAGGCTGAACACTATGTGTTCTGTTGCTTACTAGGGGTTATGAGAGTCGTGATTTGGACGACGCGTCAGAAGGGATCTTCCCAACTGATCTTGTACTTTAAGCATCAGCTTAAAGTCAAGATTAGGACGGAAAGGCGGCGGCTCACCTTATCAGAATTCAGCAAAAGGTGGGTGAATCTTGCGCGTTTGTGCCGTGTAAAAGGGGCTGACTTGGAGTGGCATTTTGATGTCGGTTAGGCATCAGGATATTGTTTTCCTGGGTTGAACATGGGCAACCCATCCCGAAATTAGGTTAGAGTAGGATTTTGTATTTTTCTTTTAGTTTTTCTTTCCTGTTCTGGTAAACTTAGCTAGGGTGTGTTTGCTCATTGGTCCCCTTTTATTTCTGTCCCCACTTTTTTCCTTTAGTTTAACTCCCGTCCCTCCCTCGTTTAGGTGGTCAGTGATGTCAGTTCTCTGGTGGATGCGGGGCGCCTTTCGTTTCGTGCGTGTGCTTTCGTATTTGTTGTTGTGTATGGATGAGTGAGTGCTTGTGTGAGTGCTTGACGGTTTGAATGTGTCCTTATTTTTATAGTCTCGCATCGATTTCGTCCGGTTAACTGATATTTCTGCCACATTCAAAGTTTGTGGGGGGGTTTAATACTAACACTAATTTTGTTTAGTTTCTTGTAAATATATTTAGACATATTGTATATACTCATTGGGGATTTTTTAAAAGTTGTTGTTTTTATGCCCCCCCCCTCTCCCACAGACAATATTTGTACATAAGGGGTGTATTTAGGTTTTTCATTGAGTCAAAGAGGCATTTTGGTGGATGTTGTAAGAAAGGTATGGATAAATGTGTTGTTTTGGTGATAGGAATATTGTTTAGTATGATAGGGTCAGTGATTGTGGCTAGCTAAGTTTTATTTTAAGACAAGTGATGACCGTCCTTTTCCCCAGCCCCCTTTTCGGCCTTGTGCCACATTTGTACATAGTACAATAAATAATGAGAATTTACGACGACTAGAATTTGCTAAACGAGTTCACGACGCTTGAATCATTACTACAGCGAAGTACCAAGTTAGGACGTCAAGTTCTTTAACATGAAATAACTTCACTAAAATTCAAACTACAATTTAAACGAAACAACTCACTCACCAATTTCTACAACTTACTAAAACTTATTCAATTACGTTATTGAATCTTACGAAAAATAAGTACGAACAATACATTCAACTACGAGCAACGAAAACAAACGGAACATTCACTTCTCCAACTTCTTTAAAGCTAAAAGTTTATCAACATATTTTCAGCTTTACAAGATTCTCTTTCAGTGAACATTTCGAATGACAAGTTAATTCAGTTTCTGTGAGCTCCGATAAAAAAATGTTTTATTAGTAAAAACTTTAGCCCAGTCAAATGGAAGTAACTCATATTAATAGTTATTGTAAAATTGTTGTCATTTATAAATATAAATATTGTACCTGTTAAGAAAAGTTATTTTCTTGTTCGCTTTTTGTTTTCTTACACATTTGTAAAGTAAAAAGATGTGTGGGTTGATTTATGCCGTCAATACCACTACAAGATGATACTGATACTTGTAGGTACTCTTCTCAGTTGAAACTGAAAAATCAAATTAACTTCTCCACACGTGTTTCGCAAAAGTAAAGGCCTTAACACTGGAGAAGAATAAATCAAATAACGCAACTTAATTGTATTCTGGTTGGTCTTCCGTACTTTATAATTACAGCCTGATTATAAACACAAAATTACATTTCTTAATTACTGCAGGTCTTCTGATTAGTCAAAACGATACAATTTACAATGCGCTAAAAAAAAAAAAAAAAAATCGATCTATCTCATAAGGTAAGGACATTTACGAAAGTGGATGTGGCTTTTAACTAATTTTATTTAACAACTTAAAAATCTAAAGAAATAACAAATAATTGTATTAAAATTCATTTTTCATTGAAATTTTTTTTTACTTTCCGAAAATATTGTCCGTATTCATAAAAACAACTAAAAGCAAATAAAATCATTTGAAATTAAATAATATCTTTGTTTTTGTTTTGAATGTTACAATTCAGAGCTGATTTTCAGGTGGGGGGGGTCCAATTAAAAAAAAAAACAAAAAAAAAAAACATGATTTGCATTCCTCAAAGCCTTGTGCTTTTATTGTAATTATTAAAGTGGACTCGATTGAATTTATGGAGTTTTCATAATATTAGTTATGGGGGGGGGATAATAAATATAAAAAAAATATTTCTGCCATGACTTTTAATTAAAAAAAAAAAAACATAATAATTTCCATCATCTGTGAATAGTTCCTGAAAGTTTCATTAACATCCGACAATTATTTTTATTTTTGCAAGATTTTCCAATTTAATGTGTCATAAAAAAAAAAAAAAAAAACGTGCTAAAAATTGTACATGTTATTTTACTTACTAGTTTCGGTGATACAAAAAGAGAAACAAGGTTTTTTTTATTCAAAATTTAGAATATTCTAAAAAGAAGGAAAAATTTTTTTTAAATAATTAAAAAAAACTTTGGTCTTTCCTCTTAATAACAAACATTTTTAGACGATAAAATATTGTTTTCGACAATTTGGCGTCTTTTTCATCATGCTAGATGCTCTTTTTTTTTTTTTTTAGCGATCTCATGGAGTTTTTTAAATACTCAATCACCTATGAACTCGGCCACATGTTCACCTGGTTTGGAAAATAAAAAAAATAAACATTATAGAATTTATTTCTAACGGGCATGGTTTTGTTATCTATAGATAGAAACACATAATAAATCTATAAATTATTCAGTTGAAAACTTTTAGAATCCTTGATAAAATTGCTAATAACCAAAAAGCGCTCGGATAGAACACTTGGACAGTTTTATTTTATTTTTATTTATTTATTTTTTTTTTTTTTACACACTTTATGACCAGAATGAAAATACTTAACAAAACAAACAAAAAAGTTTAATCACGGTAGCTTAAAAGAAGGACTGTTGCCCAAATAAATGTTTGTTTTTTTTTTTGCTACCCCCTTTTTTTTTTTTTTTTTTTTGCTGTATTTTCAATATGTGGTTTTGTTACCTTTTCCTGCAAAGTGAGAATATAAATTGATATCCAATAAGTTTACTTTTTTAGCCATACCCAAATTCAACTGATGGAAAACTAGTAAGTAAACTAAAGGTTGTTTTTTAAGAAAAAAAGAAATAGCTGATGAAAAAATAAGTTTTTTTTACTAAAAAAAAAAAAAAAAAAAAAATTAAATCAACCAAGAAAAGTCCCCTTCTTGGACTTGTCAAATGCCCTTTAAACTAAAGATTTAATTTATCAATTCCATCCTTGGCTTAAAAATTTTTTTTTACTTCAAACTTTTAGTGTCTGTTTTTTTTATTAATGTCAGTGCTTTTTATTATTATTATTAATTAGAAAATTTTAATTCATTTTTGCCCGGTTCGTTTCTTTTTTCTTTACAAATAAAAAAAAATAAAAATAAAAAAGTTTTATTAGCTTTAAATTTTAAAGTTTAAAATTTAATTTGAAGTTTCAGTTGATTGGAAAAAAAAATATTTCAAAATTTTCAATAAAATTTTAATTTTTAAAACTTTTTTTTTTTTTAGTTAGCTACAAAACAATGTTTTTCTGTCAATTGTTTTTGTTTTGTTTTTTAAGGGGAAAAATATGCTGTCAAAAGTTTTAATAAAAACGAGAAAATAGATTGCAACTGTTGACTAATATTTAGTTGTTTTCGAGAATAGACAATTAGGGTCTTAAACAATTTTTACATGAATTCAATAACAAACATATTTCAGTCACTTATTTTCCCCATGGTAAATGTTTAAGCTGGGCATGGAAAGCATTCTCACCGGGTTCATCATACTCGTCGCCTTATGCCAAACTAACCTTAGTAAAATAAAATCCGAAATAAATAATGTAAGTAAAAAGTAAAAAAAAAAAAAAAAAAAAAACTGAATTTTAATTCAACATTTGTGATTAATAAGTCATTTTAAAAATCAAAAATAAAATACAATGAAACTCGCCAAAAATAAAGGAAGGGGAATAAATCAGTGTCTGTTGTTTGTAATGATCGTATGAAACGTCAAAAACAACACGACTTTTGCTCTTGTTGCCTTTTTTTTTCTTTTTGGTAAGTAAATTGCCTATCTCTTAACCAGATTAAAATCTGCCCTATTGGCCGCTATTTAAGCTAACTCCTGCGGAAGGTTCTTTGTGCCTTCCCCACGATCGCTGCAGTTAAGTATTGCATTTTTAAGCGTACCTTGTAAAAGTTCGACGATCTTGTCATAAAAGACAATAATTTGATGTACGTAGATCCTTCTGTACAAACAATTATTTTTATTTTATTTGATGGGTGATTTTCTCTGGATTTCGTAATTTCGATTATTCCCAAATTTATTTCCAAGTTATAAAAATTGTTATCGTACAAAAAAAAAAAAAAATTATCGCAAAAAATCACATTTAAAACTAGGGAATCCAAAATTTCAGGATTGCGGGTTCGGATACGATCCAGAATGTTTTTAATTTGCTCTCACAGTGTCGACCTGATTCCAAAATGGTATGATGGGCTACGACCTAAAAGAGTAAAGTTGTAAAGTAAACTGTAAAACTTAAAAAAAGCATTTTCTGCATTTATTTTTTATTTAAGAAACAAAAAATAGCGACAACGTGGTTCGAATAAAGTTTTTTTTTTTTTTATAATCCTTTACGCCGCTATGTGAGTAGAGAAGGAAACTAAAAGAAAAGGGGTCTTTTCTTTGTCGGTTCCAAAGTAAAAAGCACTTACCCAGTCGGTTAAGGCCGTGGCTAAAATGACCCCGGGTATCGGCCGCAACTAAAAGTTCGGCCAAACTTTCAGCATGAGGTTTTTTCGCTCCGGCCCGTTCGGCACAACGTACCACAAAATTAAACAATTCTTCAGCCGCCACAGTCACAAATTTTACTTTACTTTCCATCTTGTTTTTCGTTTCGTGTTTTATCTGCAGAAATTTAAAAAAATAAATAAAAACAAGCAAAACCAAATTTCCTTCTAACTTTTGGCCACGGCTTCTTTCAGTTTTGAAACGTACTGACTAAATAATATAGGGCGTGTCCTTGAATCTATTTCATCACGTGGTAAGTTTGTTTATCAGCTCTGAACCTCCGCAAAGAATCGGGGTCGGGGATGGCAAATTAATAGCAGCTCTTACTCCCGCGTGGGTATTTAACGCCAGGATCACAAAACGTTTATTATTTTTTCTTAAAACTACAACGATGTGAAAGTTATAAAAAAAAATTATTAAAAAAAAGTAAAACGAACACCATACTTACTTTTTTAATCTTCATAACAAAACGAAAATAATTACAGAAAGAAAATAGTTTGAAAAAATAAAAACTTTTTTTAATAAGTTAAGTAGTATTTGTAATAAGAATTTTTTTTCTTCAACTTAAAAAAGGAGATATACCGTGCAAAAATAGTTTAATTTTTAAAATCACACATGGATAATGAAACGTATTGCAATTTTTTTTTCTTTTCTGATTTTTTTTCTTTTTTATTTCTGGGAGGTAAAAACTCATAGTTTATCGTCCCATAGCACACTTAAAGGGTTCTACCTGTTCTTGTAGGAATCCTTCTACCGGGGTTTTTGTTAAATGTCAAAATTCGGAGTGTCGTGATTCAATAAAGTGGGACTGCTCGTAATTCGGCCGTTTATTTAAAAAATCCCATATGACTTTCATTGAAAATAATAAAAAAAATCCAGTCGAAAAAGACAGCGTAAGTAGCAATAATTTAAAAAACAAGAATTGAAAGGGGGGGGGGTAATTTTTTTTGGGGGTGTTAAGAGTTCTTGGGCATAAACTATATTGCTTATGTGAGAACTAAACTGTTGTGTGTTTGTGTGAAAGAGTCAATACGTGTGTGTGGTGTGTGTGTGTGGGGGTTGTGCTTAGTAACAGGGAACACAAGAAATAGATTTTTTTAGTTCAACTGTGAAGAGTGGGGCCCTAATCTGAGGTGGTCCCTCTAGTTTGTCAGAGCTGTGACTTTTTTTTTTTTTTTTTTTTTTTTTGCGTGTGGACATGATTGGGGCCAGACTTCGTGAGTTTTATACACTTGTCGTTAGAATATCGCTTCCAGAATGATTTCTTCCTAATTGGCCCTAAAAACCACGTGGTATGTCTTCTACTACGCCCGCACAATATTTTGGTAGCATACCTTATTATACCAAAAATTATAATGACTGAAAACAACTTTTCTTATTTGTATTCTATGGTTTTTTTTTAGTGTGTGTGTGTTTTGTTTAAATTGAATATTTAGTATTATTATTGGTTTATTTTATTTGATATTTTTAGTGGTCACGACGCACTTGCAATATCTAACTAACAAAATGAAAACAAGAGGTAAATTTTAAAAATGCAAAAATAAACATTTTTTTGTGAAATATTTCAGTTCGATTAAAAAAGAAACTGACGTTTTTAGAGCTGTTTTCTTTGTTGTTATTTTAAAGGAAACAATTTTTTTTTTTTCAAAAAAGAAATTATCTTTCAAAAACAAACAAAAAACAGCTCTCAATAAATTTTTATAAGAATTGTTTTTATTTTTTAATTAATTTTTAATTATTAAAATCTTTTAAAATTCTGAATTAGTGAAAACTGAAAACTATATTTACGGTAAATTTTCATTTTAACACCCAAGCGTCATTCACTGCTGAACTATTTTGAAAGTTAACTTTCTTCTTAAAAAATTTTTTTAAAAATAACAAAAAAAACACCTAACCCTAATTTGAAAGTTAAATTTCTTCTTAAAAAAAATTACTTTGTTATTCTTTTATTTGTCAATGTTTATATATATCTGAAAGTTAACTTTCTTCTTAAATTAAGTACAAAAAAAAAGAAATCGCTTTATGGAAACGCGTACTAATTTCTACAAGGAATTACTGTGAAGGAATTAAATAGGTCCAATTTGTATACGTCCACCAACAAAATTCAGCACTAAATTACTTATCAATAAGCCGGTAATGGCTGACGAAAGACCAGGAAAAAGTCCTATTTTTTTGGGGGTCGTTATCATCCAAAAAGATAGGTTTCTTCAATATCTAATAGTTGATTTGAGTTCAGCATATACATTTGCACGAAAATAAGACTATTTTGGAAAAGTTTGAATGGATATTAATGCTCGGGTGTTAAAATGAAAATTTACTAATCAAAAATTGAAAACTACAGATCATTTTGCACCAAGATTTTTAAAATATTTTTTTTTATGTTTAAAATATTATGTAACGTGTCTCCGTTTGAAAGTATGGTCAACTGAAAATAAGAGCGATGAATATAAATTTAAAGTCAACATTCCTAAAATTATTAGATTTTGGATAATATTTTCCAACAAGATTACTGAGTACTTAAAAATTATATAAAAAAGCGTTCAGCCGTCATTTTCTTACTTTATCTGTTAAAACATAATTTATCTGAAGAACAATAAATGTGTCAGCATTTGTTACCTGATTTACGAGCGGTGACAAGAGTGTTAATTACCACTATTCTTTGTTTTAAAATTTCTATTTCTCTGTTATTTTAAACTTAAAGTAAATAATATTTTTTTCAACTCATATTAATTAAACTTTAAATCAGTTAATATTCCTCAAATAAATTTTCAGAAAAGTATATTATATTTTGGGAAGATTTTTAAAACCGATAATTAACTTTTGTTTACAAATGTGTCAAACAAAAATAGCCGATTTTAATGATTTTGACTGAAAGGAACCAAAAAGTTAACAATATAATTTCTATTTGAAATACACCAGAGTATTTTGCTTACTGGAAAAAGTAAATTTAATCATTTAGCTTTCAATTAAAGCTAAAAAGAAAGCTTTTGTATTTTTAAAAGTTCATTTTAAACCTTAAGTATCGAAAATTAGTGGAGGTACCTACTTTTTCGTATTTTTGTATGAATAAAAATACAAATATATCTGAAAAGATATTGTTGTTGATATTGATAAAAAAAATTGACTCGTAATAATATCTATTAGATTTCAATAATTTGTATTGTAATTGATGAAGTGTTTCTCTAAACCAATTTTTATGAGCAAATTATTAAAAATAATATGATACATTCTAAGCATGTTTGTTGTTTTTTCTTTTGAGTAATATAAAAAAATGAAAATTAAATAATGATCTATAAAAAAAAAGTGTAGGTAAGTTTAGGTTTGTCTTTTATTGTTATTTTTAAAATGCATAGAGACAGACAGTTAATAAAAAAAAATTGACATCATACATTTGTTTGTTACATTTTAAATATTGAATTGGCTAAAAAAAAAAAAAGAAAAAAGAACCACGAAGAAATATATCCGGTCAAAATTGTTATAAAACAAAATAAGACATATCTCGGCTGATTTGCAGGCAAATAAACTAAAATACTCAAGAGTGAGAGCCGGATGTTAACGAGACAAGGCCCCGTAATAAATGACCATTATCGTCGTTAGCGCATAGGCCCGACGCACAAGTTCTGGTCGAAAAATAAAATAATATTTTAAAGTGTTTCTATTTCTCGACCAATAAAAATGCTTCCCTTCTAATTATACTTGCGTCATTTTTCGAGCCTGTTAAGCCATAAAAAACGCCATAAAAGGGGGTCACACGGGGAAGTACTGGCAGTCAACAGGAGGCCACAGAAGAGACCTGTCACGGTCAGGATGAGCAGTCAGCAGCAGTCAACAGGAGGAGTGCCACGCCAACCAGCGAGAACAACCATGAGAGATCAACCCAGATTGATAGCCGGCCTATGAACCATACCACAAGGTAGCTTTCCCAAAACCACACGTTCCTATTGAAATAAATCACGTAAATCTATTTCTGCTGTTGTCATATTTCTTTCTTGCCACCATACGCTTGTCTATAACAAAATGATACAATTTACAATGCTGTAAAAAAAGATCTATCTCATAAGGCCATTTACGAAATTGAATGCAGCTTTCAACTTATTTTATAATATTTTAACAACTTAAATGTAAAAATCTGAAATAATTAAAGAAATAACAAATAATTATATTAAAAATTCATTTTTTCATTGAAAAAGATTTTGCTTTCAGAAAATATTGTCCATATTCATAAAAACAACGAAAAGCAAATAAAATCATTCGAAATTAAATATCTTTGCTTTATTGAGTTTTGTATGTTACAATTCAGAGCTGATTCAATTAAAAACAAAAAAATATGATTTGCTTTCCTCAAAGCCTTGTAACTAATATAATCACTAAACTGAATTCGATTGAATTTCTTGAATTTTCATAAAGTAGTTATGGGGGTGGGGAGTAATAATTACAAAAAAAATTATTTTTACCATGACTTTAAAAAAAAACATATTTATAATAATTTCTATCATTTGTGAATAGTTTCTGAAAGTTTTGTTAACATCCAACAATTATTTTTATTTTTGCAAGATTTTCCAAATTAAAGTCTGTCATACAAAAAAAAAAAAACATGCTAAAATTTTGTTATTTAGTAGTTCCAGTGATACAAAGAGAAACAAGGTTTTTTTAATCAAAAGTTAGAATGCTCTAAAAAGGAAAACTTTTAAAAAATGATTAAAGAATACTTTGATATTTCCTCTTAATAATAACATAAACATAAAATTTTGTTTTCGTCAAGTTTGGTGTCTTTTTCATCATGCTAATCTCTTCTTTTAGTGATAAGACTTAGTCTTTTTTGATTAACAAAACTTCAGCTATCTAAACAAAAAATAAAACTTTGCATTATTTTACTACCGTAAAAACTTGTAAATTGAAAAAATGCCCATTTTTGGACTTTAAATAAAGTTTCTGTACTTAAAAAAAGTATACTAATTTTCAATTTTCTTTCAAATTTCCGGAAAAAATTGGAATGCATGTGATATCTTAAAGCATTGGAATTATTTCAATTTTTCTAACTATTTTATAATTTATGAAAAGTAATGATTTCATATCCGTAAAGCTAAGTCTAT